GTGTGTGTGTGTGTGTGTGTGTGTGTGTGTGTGTGTAGATGTGAGTGTGGGTGGGATGGGTGGGTGTTTTTCAGTAGTCACTTCAGGATATAACGCAGCATCTGTGTGTTTCAATAACTTATTCCTTTTTTACTGTCTTATCCGCTGTAAGAATGGCTGTGTAGTGAGCTTTTACACAAACTGAAATGTTTTGGCTTTTCTAACCAATTAATGCTTCCTTACATTATTTTCTCAGTAAGTTGTCCCTAGCGCTAAATAATACTGTGCGAGAATGAATTAACTGAATACATGCGCAAAATGTTTAGTTGTGAGAGCTAAAAATGCTGATTGAATAGCAGTTACTAGTATTGGCTCCGGAACGATATTGTTTGTAATCATTGCAACAATTGTGCGTGTGTATATTTGACCTTATGATGAAAATATGTGACATAAAATTCGCTTTTTCTGTTCGTAAGCAGGATAGGACTGCACGTGTTGGAAAAGCTATGGTGTTTTGATACAGTGCAAATTCACGATAATCATTAAAAGCACTGTAACAACATGTTTAATACGGTATTATGAATATTTTAATAAAGTGAAACAAGCAGTTGGATGTTAAATTCTCTGGATCCATACGGGTTTTAGCAATTGTTTTTCTCCAAAAACCCTACTAAGATACGGCGGTAGCAATCATGAGATCAGACATGCAGTTCGTTTGATAGTCAAAAATCCAAAGATAGTGTGGTAGGATAGGGTTAACGGAGCAGTACGATTAGCCACGCTACTGAAAAAAGCTCAGGTATCCTGAACTTATTTGTGTATTATAAGCAGTATGTTTTCTTACTGTCTAGTGTGTCTTAGTCGCAAGACTTTGTTGGAGAGTGTAACAGCCTTTTATGTGTGAGGAACGTTGATAATAGACGACGCACATAGCTTGCACCCCATGATATGGTGATGTAACATAACGTTCTGAAAAGCACGACGCTATTATTATTTACAGTCTTGTAGAATGAGAAAAATAAGAAATGTTGCGATCTTATCCTACATTACTTTGTTAAAGAATGACAAGGGAAAGATACAGATAGAAGAATCTTCCTTCAACTTCGGTTTGCTTTTTGTCTCCGAAATGTTTTACCCGGCTAATATCGTGTAACTGGCCCGGCCGCTATTGTGTGGTTGGTTTCTTCCGTAATGTGTTTATTCATTTAAGACGGGCTAGAATTCAAGTTCGTGGTGGCTCGATATCTATATCTTTCTCTTGACCGTTATTTATCAAGAAACGGTCTAACTAAAGTTAATGGGATCGTTGACAACAGAATGTTAGTTCGGGGTGCTGAATCAGTTCATTTCATTCCATGTAATGTGTTGAAGGACGTCACCAAGTTTTTAGTGTACTGGAAACGAAAATAGGAGTTTGAGTCGTTAGCTAACTTCTAATTGAGTGAAGTCTGTATGACGGATGAGATGCCAGTTTGCAAGAGTAGAAATGGCGTACTTGCTTTTATATAACTTAATGATTGGCTTTGAATGTTTGATCAATTATTTACAAGTTTAGTTGTTTTAATTGTATTGCGTGACACACCGTGCATGCTAAAGGGATGGATGACCCAGGTGAACGGACCTGTTATGTGTGCAGTCTCCATGAAAACGTCACTGAGGAACTTCTGAAGGAACTATTCAGTCAGGTATGTTCTTTGTTTTTAGATACAATTTATTAATTATGTGAAATCGGATTAATCATTTACATATTGCTGCTGTTATTGTGTATTAGGTTGACATTAACCCTAAAATTTATTGTAAGGGTAAATATTTTTAAGGTGGGACCCCTCGATACAATTATTCTGCGTACGAGCAATAATCGTGACTCTAACTCAACACATCGTTATGCGTTGATCGTATTTAAGCATGAAGTAAGTGTCCTGTTTGCATGTGAAATGCTTGATCGAATTGAGCTTTTCAATAAAAAAATTTCGGTTCGACCTAAACAAGGCACTCAGCAGGTGATCATTCTGTTTTTCTTCGTCTGAAGAGTTTGGCTTATTTTGACCTTCGGATGTTTTTATTCCTCACCCAATAGAGGGCTATTGGCGGTCTTTTAAAAAACTTCGAAAGCTTTCCACTACTTAGTGCAATGTTCCTTTCACTATGAATTATTTTACTTCTAAAACGCAGTATTGTGAGAGCAAGTGTATATAAGTTTCGAAAGATTTCAACCCGACTATGACGTTTTGTTATGCCAATTAAATAATAGAGTTTGAGGAAGCATAGATATTAAGGATATAAGTCGGGTCGGTAGGAACTTCAGTTTACAATCTTCAGGCGCAACGATACCGGAAAAATATTGCATTGCATAATTCGAATTCTTGTCCATCGAAATCACGAAGTTATAACAGTGGCTTTTTTAATGCCCATAGACGCAGGCAAAACGGAAATGAAGAGTATTTAAAGCACACCCGAGAAGATAAATCTGGTGTGAACATTTTCACTTTGTTTACTACTGTATTTTTGTAGGCTGCGGATGGGGGGTGCGTTGTTTGGAAAAATTTTGAATAATCTTGTGCTTGGTATACCTGTCGTCAGAAAAAGTAGTCCATTTAGCTTTTTATTCAGCTATTTTACACTTCTCTTGACCTCTGCGTGTTTTTAGTTCTAAAATCGTCTAGTGAATGTGTTGCATTACAAATGTGTATTCTCCGGTAAAATTTTAGTACATTTATAGTCCTGCATTTTTTTGAGAACAGACTGACTAGTAAAGATCATCAAAACTGTTTTTTTTTTTTTGCTACTCTATCATTAATATGATTTTAGCGTACCGCAAAGTATCGATCTACAGAAAAATACTTTTAGAGACCAATTCTTTTGAAAGGATTAGTAAAATCTAGACTAACTGATTTAGAGAAATTAATCTTGTTTTTCCAAACAGTTCGAATTCGAAATCTGTCTATGGTAAGAAGTGAACTTCTTGAAAGAGACTATTAAAAGACTATAATTATTTTATTTCACAGCAGTATCTTGAAATTTTTTTTCGTCTCATATTAATGATTGATGCTTGCATGCTATCAAAAACATCTAAAAGAGCAAATACTGCTTTGAAGGCTCCTATCTCCTATTGAAAGCGAACGTATTTATCAGTGATTTTAATTACTCATCTGCATACGTGTAGTTGCTCTAGGCGGTTCTCAGACTTTTTTTGTTATGGAATGAATTGTTTGGATAGCGACTTCATCAATTTTGGCAAGTTTGCTAATTTGTAACTTCGTTTTTCTTACTGTGTTTATTTTTATTTCCGTATTTTCTGAACCGGAGCGGACAACTATTTATTGTTTAGTGGGCTGTAAAGTGATGTAGTTCAAATGTCATAGACTTCCTTCTTGGTCATGATACATTTCAACATATGATAAGCGTATTTCAGTAAGTAAAACTCAAATGTTCGATATTTATTATTTCCCCTCAAAATATAGTGTGTGCTAAATATTCCTCATCTCTTAATTGCATAAGTTTTGGTGACTTACAAATTAATCTTGACGTAAAAACCTTAAAATTTAGGTGGCTTTGTTTGTATGAACATGCTGTGTAGCAGTAGCGAGCGAAATACATATCTGATATGCATGATGTAACTGGTTTAAGTTATGCAGTTATCATCGCATGTCAGTGTTTTCTGAGTACATTATTCTTGTAAGATATTACAAATTATTGTTCACGAAGAAAGAACTGCAAGCACACACAGGTTTTTCGGTATTTCGGCCATTTAGGATGTCATCTTTTTTGGATGAGTGATCGTAATGGGAGCAGGATTTTACATCGTCAAGAAGACTTGTAATACAGACCATTCCGTTTAATTTGTTTGTTTATTACACTTTTGTTACTGTCTCTTTTTACTGAAACAGGTGATTGCTTTTTCAGCTGTTTCTAATTTTCTTTCACTATCTAGTAATCGAAATTCTAATCCTCAATGAAATCTTTGGGTCAGTACTTCTGAGATTTCTAAAACAAACAAAAACTTCTGATAACTTGTATATGGCATTTTCAAAGGGAACATCAGTTTTGAATACCACAGAATTATAAGATGAGCCGTATCCAAAATATTCGTAGATGGAAAATGATACCCAAATAACTAGTTTTGGTATATTCGGACAAAGCGAAATTCTATAGCCTAAAGAACTGGTTGTATCATCAGTTTTTCCTGGTTTTAGGACCTGGTTTTAGTATTTTTTAAGGAATTATTTTTGTTTATGTTGATACTGCTTACTGCTTTGATTTTATTGTTTTTGGCAATTATGTTACAGTAGTTTAGGATTAGAGCAAGTTTCACTAATATTGTTTACTTAACTCGTTGAAGTAAAGTAGCATTGCAAGTACTGTCCTTATATATGTTCCTGCTCCAGATTATCTGTAAATTTTATGAGGAAAGAGGCTTGAAAAACAAACTGTGCGTTAAATGCGGTAGTTATTAATTAATGTTATGATTTGTTTTCGGTATTTCAAATTGCCTTAACATTGAATGGTAACTTTTACTTTCAGGAACTTTCACTTAACGCCGCGATGCAGAGTGATATTTTACCTCGCAATTATAAGTGTTGGATGAAATTGACTGATTATATCATGTATCCAAGTTGATATCATTTATAAATAAAATGCTATTGGTGTTTGCTATCACAGAGACTGTTTAACTGCAGTTTTTCATTCACGTGATGTCGCGGGACTCAGACAGCAAGGCATCGGAATTTCCAGGAATGTCTAATTCATCTCATAATATAACATGTTCTTTGAGGGAAATGTGGTGCATGTCAGGGAAGTGAGAGTGAAAGAAAAGCGTTCTTGAATAAGAACACAATTTCAGGATGAAGTCATCCATTCTTCCCTTCAGTGTAGGGCACTTAGCAAATATACTGCAACAGCGAGGGTGCGGATAGGTTGGCGTTCTTTCCTGTTTACTCCGGGAGATATGACTGTGACATATCCCGTAGCCGATAATAGACGTGATGGGATATATATACATATATATATATGTGTGTGTGTATGTGTGTGTATATGTGTATCTTGTGTGCATGTGTACATATATGTGCGTGTATGTATGTATACGTGTGGATGTATGCGAGCGTGTGCATGTGTGCGCGTACATTTATATATATGTGTGTCTGTCTGTCTATGTAGTTTGGAAGGAAATTTTGAAAAAGATGAAAGGAAACAATTTGCTTGAAACAAAATCTCCAGCTGGTGGCGAAGAACAATCAACCGTTCGTACGTTCCATTCAGAAGATTTCATGCTTTTTGCCATCACAGACAGACAATCTCTTAGGACTGCCTTAGTTCACACTGTAATCACTCCACTTCACAGAAACATTGTTCGAATCTCAAAGTGGCGCGAAAATTTTGGGCGGAGCATCTGGAATAGCTACACTCTTGTTCTGTGAATGGTCGGATAACATTCCCCATTTGTATTTTTCAGGACTGGATTAACCCAAAATTACTCGTCCGTTTAGTTTCACACGAAGTCTCACAATACTTCGAACCTAATGAAATGTGTGAACTGGAAGGGTACTGAACTGCCTCGATCTTTTTGTTCGAACATTCCTTATCTCGTCTTTTTGAGGACCTTTAGCTATTGGTAGGCATAAGTTTCAATTCGATTGTCAGAAACCCCGATGATTTTGTTGTCTAGCCCTCAAATTACCGTTTGTAAAGTACCCAAAACTGGTCCATGAGATTTGAGCGTCCTGAGAATGAACTTTGCGAAGTTCATTCTCTATTATAGATGCGCTTTTTACAGATAATTTATTGCAAATTAAATTTATTGTTAACATACCTGAGATGCACCACTATATTAGTCAATTGAAATATTATTAGTGAATATGAGGAATGGTTGCCAAAATGGATCTGGAAAATGGAATTTAAAGTCAAACCCTTAATTTTGATTTATGACAAAGCTCAACATACCTTGTTTAAAGTGATTGCCTTAAGGATTCTTCGCTGGTTATTCTCATCTGGTTTGCATTGTTGTGACGTCTATGTATTCCTTCTTATCGCAATGCATTATCGAATTGTTATGGAAATTTCTTAATCAATTGCTGCAATTTCGTTGTGTCACGTAGCAAATTTTTTGTAAATTTCACCTGTCACGCCATTTGATGCTTTTGTATCCTGTACTTCATTGTCACACCTTCACAAAGATTTCCCTTTTTTGGTGAGATAATTTGCGGTAAAATGAAGTCGAAGGCGAAAGCTCGCGTTAAATCAACAGAAATCGGTTGTTCTGTTAAATCCACTATACATAAGAATGTAATCAAAAAGAGGTAAATGAAAGTTTTTTTCTCTCGAACAAGAAAAGGTTCAGGAGAAACGCTAAGCAGCATTTCTCTGCTTAATGGACTTATCTCTTGACATATTTGAAAATAAGTCGGTATTGCAATCATGATGCATTTCAGAAAGCCTGCAGAAAAAACTACCCGAAGCAACAGTGGATCGCGTAAATCCACAAAGAACGTCAGTCCCAAAGATCTAGCCGGAAAAAATGAGATACAAGCGAATAATTTACCGGTTACAAATATATTATCTGTGTTGTAGTGTGATTTATTAGCATTATGATAATAGAGGTGATTAAAACAGTGATGGCTTAAACTTGAGGATTGGCTATGATTAAAAGAAGACAACGATATACATGCATTGTATACAGCTCAACTTCACTTATATATATTAAAGTAAAGTTCCATTGCTTAAAATTTCTCTTATTTTTTAGATGAGACGTGTGGCGTGGGTACTCAATTCAGTTGGTGATGCTTCACGTGACACTACTGGTGGCAGTACCGATGATAACATGAACGAGGTTTTATATTCATGACTTTCTTAAGATTTCATGGAAATTCAAAAATTTCTTTTATGGCAATGTGAACCGTTAGTTTGTTACACTTTTAGCAAAAAGGTTATTTTTCAAAGGCCTTTGTATAAGTTATTTTTTATGTATATTATAACTTAATACTAGACATTGCTGGAAGCATATTTTACAGGATCTTCAGGATATTCCTGATCATTTAGGACGTAAAAGCTGTTTGAAGAAAATAATGCCAAAAATTGAATCGGAAGGTCAAAGCAGAAAGAAAAGAGCGAGTGAACAATCGGATTACAATATGGATACGATGGAAGATGCTGGGAGCTCCGGCATTTCTGCGTCTACTAAAGTATGCATTTCTTAATACATTTTGATAATGAGATTACTGTTTTTTTCTGATATGAGATTAGCATGAATTGAAATGGCACGTATTTAGGAAAAATCTGTATTGGTTAAGAAAGATCGTAAAAAGCGAATGAAGAATTTTGTGAAAAGCGAAAAATCTGAAAAGTAAGATTTTTCTTATCTTTATGAGATGTCCATTTTTTTCTTTTCAACTTAAAACTATAATTTCGTAGCAACCTTACCGAAGGACTACTTTTTTGCCGAAATTCTGAGCTTCCTAATGAATGTTTGATTGTGTATATACAAATACACTGTTTGACTGGAAGACTAACTTGATGTGAAGTTCGATAGTTCTGGAATACCTAATAATTGCGTTAACATTTTTCGTGAAATATATTTCCTGCAGGAATATGGTTTTGATCTTTTCAATCAATGTATGCAATACAGTATTTTTTTTTAATCTTACATCATGATAACTTTTCTCTGAATAAGTTGCAAGATGGAGTTGTATAAGCAAAAAATTGGTTGAGGAATATTATATAACTTCGAAGATTTGCCCTCTTTTTTATAACTAATACAGATTGAAAATACCGATTTGGAAGCATTAAATAAATTGTTTTCAAAAGCATCACTTTAAAAATGTCTCCAAGGAAGGAAGAAAATTCCGCAATTCCAACTGCCGAACCTAAAAAAAACGCTGATATAAATGGTGGTGGAGATGCAACGGATGGTAAAGTGAAAGAAAAGTTTAGTTCCGGTAATGCTCATATAGGCCGCTGAGTAAGAGAAGTCCCACTCCAATACATACCGCGGAAATAATTGGAAAAGCAAAAGACGACTAATGTAGATGTGAGGTCAGAAGGAAGTGATCAAAAAAAAAGAATAGAAATTTGATGCTGAGGATGTTTTATAGCGCTTCTTACCGATATTTTTGCAATGAAATAGAAATTTTACGTTCTTGATAAATGTTATGGGTTTTAGGAGAGCGTCGCTTCTCGATTTCGCACTCACGAATCGGATGCGAACGAATCATCTCCGAAGATTCCGATCAATTTGCGCAAAGGTTGGCAAGGTACAGTGAAATCAACGGGGCGAACGAAGTATAATTTTTACATAAATTTACTCCAAAAAACGTTGTTGGTTACTTAAACCCTTCTATTTAATAGTCGGAAAAAAATGCATTATCACTGAAGTATAGAGTAAAAAAAATATTTTCAGGGCCAAGTAATCCAGAAGATGACATGCGAATTGTGAATTTTTTTTTTGGATTTTTGTGAATTTTATCTGTGAATTGTTTTAATTTTCCGTCGTCACACCTCATTTTCCCTATTTGATTTGATGTCAAAAAGAATAGTTAGTTGGTCTTGCTTGGTCAAATGCATTATACAACTCATAGGGCAGTCTTGAACCTAAAACTGTTTTTCTTAGTCAAAATTCTCTTTTATTACTGTCTCTATTTTTTATCTAATATTGTGCAAATCATGTCAATATTCCAATAAATGTTGTTGTTTTAACATGCATACAAACCGCACAGGTGGCTATTACAGTATTCTTTCTGTGTGAAAGTAGGTGGGTCACAATGTGTTTCTTGTTATAACATTGAGTTGCATCACAAATTTAATGGAGGTGCAACAGCAAATCTGTGGTGGTGTAAGATTGAGCAAATCTTGTAGGTATCTAAAAAAGCAATATTATGATAGCGTATACTGTTAGCTCCTCTATGCTTATTTTTTCAATTCGTATGAAAATGTTTAATGCTGCTTCAGCTCGCTATTGTATTTGAAGATCTTTTGATATCCAAAAAAAATCAGATGTTATAGCTGTGTAGATGAATCAGTTAAGTCAAGCGAAACCCGTTTGTGTTTTACAGAAAATTGTCAATCATTTATCTTTGACCTCAAAAAATCCCTGTCCTCAACTACTTCACTTTCATGAGTCTGAAGCGTTTTAGAGGTTACATTTTGCAAGACAACAGTGATTTAACTACATCATATAGCGGCAAAGTAAATGCTTTTTTTTTTCAAATATCCACAATCGGTCAACTGAATCGATAACCGTTAGACATGGCTTTTAAAGTCTGCTGATATTAATGTTGTAGTTTTACATGGCAATATGAGGTGGAGAGAGATTGTACAAAACAATTATTGTAACATTTCACAAAGAATGAATTATATTTTTTGCTGTTTTCCCTCATGCATTGCAAGAACCATGATAAGTGAGTGAATAAATTGCTAATCCCTGTTCGCCACGAATTTGCTCATGTAAAAAACACTTTGAGTTGGATAATTTGCCGGAAGATTCTGCTGTTGTGTGACACACTCATTGTAGCCAAATTGATTACTAACCTGCCCCATTACTGCATCTTGTATTACGTACTCATTCTTCGTGTTTTCATAATCTATTGAATGCCTTTCAATCGTTTCATTTTGTCTGTTTGAGTAACACTTCTGTCTTTCTCGAGCTTGTTTTCTCCATTTTGCACGACGATTTTGGAACCATACCTGAGAACGCACTTATTTAATTGCTTATTTTTATTTTGGTTTTTATTTCTACTTTCGTTTTGTTGGCCTTTTTAAAAGAACAGTCGTTTTGTTTGGAAGTCGACCTTGTGAAAGAAGTAATTTACCATAATCCGGTCTTCTGGAATATTTAAGTAAAGGGCAAGTCGCTTTTTAGATGATTGATCTGGATAATGAGTTTCGTGAAATTTTTTTTCAAGAGTCATGCACTGTTCTTCAGTAAAAATGGTCCTTACACGACGTTTCATCGATTCTCCATCTGAAACGACATATCTAGTGATAGTATAGTACAACCATTTGTTTTCTACAATTTCATTTACCGTAATTACAATATGTGAAACCAAACCGTTCATATCATGATCACATGTACAGCAGTCTAATATTTTTTGTTTGATTCAAGTAAATTTGGCGAATATGAGAAGTTTTAAAATTTCTCGCCCATTTTTAAAAATATTGTATGGGTGCTTTTCCATACCATAATATGATATGCTGTGTGATGCCACGAAATGTGACTGAATTCCAGTAGAGCATGCGACAGTGACTTACAGGACATCGTGACTGTTTCACTTTCCTCTTTTATTCTCTGGTTTTCGGTTCAATGTCAAATTTTCTCAAAATCTATAGGACAGAATAACTAGCTTACTTCTACATGCCTTTTATTGAATAATGAATCTAACAGTTTTGCAGCACTTTCGACCAACGACTGGTCATAGGTTTGGTGTTTTTGTTTTCTGTAAATTTGGAAATAAAAAAATTCTTTGTAGGTAAGTGAATGAAATACATACGGTACGTAGGATTTGTGGAATTACTGGTCGTAGTGGAGAAAGCTGTCTGTTCCATAAACATTGCTAGTGGCAAAGGCAAGACATTAGATGAAGGAAAACTTGACGAATGCGACATTGTGAAGGAGATAGATACGAGAGGTTTGTGATGATAAGTTGAGGGGAAGGGAGTGGAGAATAAAATTCCACAAGTGGCAGCCATCTGCCATTGTACTGAATTGAACACAATTAATTGCCACTCATTAAATCGTTATTTGATCAGCATAAAGTATTATGTAAGCAGTGAACATCTACCGTTCATTGCTTATTCTTTTTCATCAACTTAAATCTTAAATTTTCAGATTCGAAGCTTAAGTGTAATGTATTTAATCTTCCATATATTGCAACAGAGAATTTACGTTAGTGCATCTTTTCATTGTCCCATGTTTTCTGCACCATAGTCTTTGTTTAAAAATAGGACAATTTCACCATACAAACTCCTTTTTTGGAAGAAGAGAGAGAGGAAGAGGACTGACAGAAACGGGATTGAAATCCAACGACTACATGTTTATTAAAAAGCAGAGCTATCCTAAATTCAGAACTCTTTACAGTTTTAGTTCTTTCCATAAGGTATTACCTTTGTCCTTTATATTTTCTTTACCTCTTAATTCTTTTCTTCAACGTCAACTGTCTATCGTTCTCGTTTTCACTCATCATATTTTCTCAAGAGCAAAAGTGCACGTTTACGTGCTTGAACCATACTCTTTCTCTTCACAGAAGATGGCACAGCGAATTGATGGTGATTGAATTGTAATCAACCTTGATTTTAATTTATAAATTAACTTATAAACTGATGTACCTTCCATGCTCTCTATTTTTCTCAGTCATCCACTAAGCATTTCATTATCACTTTATCACCTTTTTTGTTTTTCCCTCTTATCCTACATTTTCATGAGTTCCTTTTCTCTTTGAACTTCCTAGTCCAAGTTTTAAGTTGAATCACTCACACTTACGCTTTAGTTTAGGGGCACTACCTTCTGAAATAGCCCGAAGTTCTTGACTCTTTCTGCGTTTTGTTTTTCTTCTTTATTTCTTGTTTTTTCGAGTAAGGTGATTCACAGATTACATGTAGCTCATGCTTTACACGATCCGAAAATGTTACGAAGTAATTAACTGAACTTCCCAACATGATTCAAAAATTTACCCCTCTACATCGACTTATCACTTTACATAAATGTTGTTTGGGTCTCCATTGGTCATCAATCCGTGGATTTCTCAATTGCTGTCGAACACTGAGGCAAGCAGTATGCAAGATGCTATTATTCAGTTCTTTTAGCCTTTTAGCGGCTGTTAATTCTGTTTGAACACCGCTCCTTGCTCGAATAAACTGAGATACTTTCCAGTAAATATAAGAACTGTGATAGGAGCAATATATCGTTCCTATACCAATTTGCACTGAATCCTAGATCGTATAAAGAATGCTTGATCTGATGCACAGGTTGGACTTTTCAGTGAGAGAGAAATAGAGCTAATATGATACATTTTAAACAAATGTCTTCTTTGACGTGAGTCGTTCTTCCATGCCGTGGATTATTTGGTGGAGCATCGTTTTTGGATTTTGAAGGAAAAAGCGTACTTTCTGGGTTTAAAATGTACCATATGAGCTCTCTTTCTCTCAATCATCTGAAGTATTAGATCAGGTATTAAATGTAGTCGATCTGAAGCTATCCATTGTGAGTAGTGGTTTAATAATTTGTACGGATTGACAATTTAACTTCTCAAGACAGAATTATTGTCCCCAGTTTCATCTGATTAATTTCTGGTCAAGAACCTTAAAATTAGGTATTTTCTGCAGTTGGGAGTGATAGTATATTGGAAATGAAAACATGTTTCCCAATATTTTAATCAGTTTCTTAGAATATGGTCCAATAACATTATAGACATCTCAGCCTTTTACGTCACCACTCGTACCTCTTAGTTTTGTTATTCCGTTAATGATCGCTTGAAGCATAAAAATATTGCCTATTTCAGTGTCACGTCGATCGCATCATTAGGAATTGCTCTAAATCTCATTTTTTCATCTTCCTGAATTCCCTAGCAGCTAAATAAATACGTTACCAAAAATCTTATGAAAACTTAATCCATCAACAATTTTGTTATTGACAAGAGAATTGTTATTTCCTTTATTTATCCTTAGGATTTTGTGAGTTTTTTATTTTTTCTTATAAATTTTTTTAAAATAAATATTTGCTTAAATGTTTTTTTGCTTGAATGTTTTTTGTTTAACAGAAATTGCTGATCATTTTGAGACGGTGTTATCCTGTGCATTTTTTATTAGTGCAAAAGACATTTAGATTAAGCTTTTGAACATTTAGAAAAACTTCCTAAGACAAACTTGATGCAGAATAAATAGGCTTTCTATTACCAGTTTATATTATTCTTTCATCGCATTCTCCTCTCACTTTACCTACTTCAACGATGTGTACTCATTTAAATTAGCTACTGCCAGCTTTAAAATGCATTTTGTATAAATGTACGCTCTAACTTCTCAGCAAACACTTCATGGTTGGTTGCACTATATCTGAAATCCCCACAATTACTCCACGAATATTAGCAACCAATGCCCTTCCGCTGAATTCACCACCAAAAGAGGGACATTTTGCGAGAATTAGGAGTTAGTCCAAAAAGACTGCAAACTGAGTGATAACTTATCGATGGTTTAGCGTTTTGCACCCATTTTCCTTGAGAAGAAGCCTTTATTCTTTATCCAATTAGCCAACAGCAAATATAATTTCATTCTTAAGCTTCCCAATTATCTTAAAAGTTCTTCCTACTTCAGTCACAAATTCAGCATTAAGAAACTTTTAGACATTATTTTATCATTATGATGGAGTATGTTATTCTTGAAGTAAGTATTAACAAAAAAAAGAACAAAATCAAATTTAGAGCACATGAAGCAAAAGACTTGAAGAATTAATGGAAATGCATTGTGTTTTCTTCAAGCAGTATCATCAGTTTCTTCAACTTGTTGTTGCCAATTTTCTCAAATATTAGTTAAAGTGTAAAAGAGAGGAAAAATAGTGACTAACAGAGCAAAAATATTCAATATTTTACTGTATCTTCCATAAGTTATGATGCATTTAGAAACTTGCAAATGAATGTGCCACATATTTCCATTGTTAATAAATCTTCATAATTAATAAAGTTCATTTAGAATCTGTAAAAATTTTTCTAAATTATTTGCATTATACCAAGTAGTAGCACAAACAGGCACTAAGCTATAAAATACCGACAACAGCTGAAATTTATCGTTATTCACTCAGAATATTACGAAAACGATCAAAATTTCATTTCGACATTGACAAATGTTTTCATTCTAGACAATAATTATTACAATCTCTCGAGATTTCACATTCTGGTGACTTGATTACTACATGAGTAACGCTTTTCAGCTTCATCACGGAATTGCAGCAGTACACACATGAAAAGATAATGAAGTATTTTTATTTATTTTTCTAAACATATATTTAAAGCGATAGTTTTATGAATTAAGAAAAGATTAAAATATTTCAATGATTTACTTTTATTTCAGTCAATAATCGATATTTTTGTATGGCGAGAATAATTAATCCGATGTTGTTTATCTCAATCTCCAGTTTATTTCAATTTTCTCGTCACCAATGCGATCTCATGTCGACTTTTCATCTCAATCTAATGTCAACGCACATTCTTGGAAATTTTTTGGCAATTTAATTTCAGCTGTATTTTAAAGACCCGATCACTTAGTTATAAATAAACAAACTATAGAGGTAAAGATGAAAATGTTTTTCTTTGTTCCAACAAAGCTGGATGCAAATGGTTTCAATATCTTTTCAATTTAATTGTTTTTATTATATCTAATTTACGGAGGTTTTGAAAATTAAGCTGCATCGTAAAGACGGAAATGGTCAAAAAGGTTAGTGCTTGAATGATCCGAACACTCATGTAACAGAATTGAAAGCACGAATGCTTTTCTAATTTGTGCTAATTGTTTCGAAGAAATGTTATAGGGCATTTCATATGTATTTGTATGAATAGGTATTCATTTATACAAAATTATAAGTGCACATTTAAAAGCATCATTTAATAAAAACTTACCGAAGTGGATGTATAAAAATTACGTAAAGCATCCAATTTTGTCAAAGCATGTTATGTCCACGTAAATCCATACGTATTTAGAGGTTTAGTTTTTCCAGCTCTTACAGAAAGTGCTACATTATTTAAATATCATATAGATGCATTGATCATACTTATTGCAGCTTTAATTACTAATCACTTGTAGATAATGTGAAAATTGTTGATAACAATAATGTTCGTGAAGACTTTTAAAAATGCTTGATGTCCTTATCAGTAGCAATTTGTCGATGGATTTCTCTCATAATGAATCTAAGTGGCAATGGCAATCACCTTACGGAATTTTATTGCAGGTTTTCATACTCTCTTTAAAAGTCTTCTGAAATTATAAATTTGTGATTTTGCACACAGTTGCCTTTTCCAATCCATTATGAAATAGAAGAATTGCCAAATATTACTTCTCAATTTCAAACTATTCAGAATAGCTGTTTTACTTTTTTTTTTTTAATAGGCCATTAGAGTAATTGAACAGGGAAAGAAAGATAACTGTACACTTGGAAGTGATTAATAGCAAGAACTATCGGATCGGATTGTTCAATAGAGAAGATCTCGCTGATAGTAGAAAAGATTGTAAAAAAATTCATGATATCGCCATGAACTCTTTCACTGAATTCACTTCCAGATTAGTTTTCAACTGTTCGAATCATTAGATGGAAAGTAAAAGTATTATATTGTTTTCTTCAAGTTTCTATAACATACACAACGTCGCATTTCAATGCCCTGTTATGATTTCCATGATAATAGGACATTGCAATTTGACTTTATATTACCATTTCTACGCCTTTGTGAAGCTGTTGGATCAAATCTTTTGGGAAAAAAAGTGGAGTGAGCACGTAGATTAGCGAATAAATAAGTGGACGGATGAAAGGTGAAAGAGCAAATGGATAAATGAATATGAATGAGTGAACTAAAAACAACGAGTTTTCGTGTATCTTATGATATGCATCATTTTCTCATATCTTCTTGATGTTTTGCATCTCAATCGCTTTTCTTCCACTCAGTTTGTACAATCATTACTTATTTAGTAAGATATATATTTTTTCAGTTCGCTTCAACTTTTCAATAATTTCGTCATTAATTAAAATATTTTGAAATTATAATACATTTTTTTTTATTAGAAAGTAATGACCTCATTTTAATAGTGAATCCATCTGTACCATAAAGACATAAAAATTATCTTCGTCGTTTCCTTCCTTGTGCGTCATTGTTATTATAAACACTTGTTAATGCTTGCTTTACAATCATTAGCTGGTAAAATGGTTTGGTAGAAGTCTTTTTATGATCGATATGTGAGACTGTATGATATGAGGTTCTAAATCAATATTTTTTGTTTTATATTAATGCATATTTTTGAATCATTTTATTGCAAGCTCTGTAGTATTGCACAGCATTACCTAAAAAATGTCGCTTGAGATTTTTCTAATAAAAGTAGTCGTACTGACTACTTTAAAATATATATAAAGAACAAATGGATCGTTGAAAATTCAGAGGGAAGGACATATTTACTGCATAATCGTTTTGCATCTATTTCCAAATGGAATGTTAGAAAAAGGAATTTTTGACTGTTATTTTGTGCCCCTTCATTAAGTTGCTTAATTTAATCGTAAATGCGATGTCGTCGATTTGTTCACCTTTCAAGAAGGCAATCTAAGCAGTAAAGCTTTTAAGAAAAAAGATGATCTTATGTAAAAGCTAATATACCATTTTAAAAAATTCAAACAACCGAAAATATCCCAAAAACGTAAGTGCGTGAAGCGCATTTGGAAGTTTTTTTTATTAACTGATTATTGGTGATTATATGGATATACAAAAGTTCGAGGTTTACAGCAATTTGATAGTTTGGTAATAGTTAGCATCTGATAGAAATTTTTAAAAAACATAGAAATTAAGAATTTTGAGAATGTAGGTAATAAAATTATAGCATTTTCTAATATTGCAGTGATTTTTATGAAGATTAAATATTTCTAGTTGAAGTATTTTAATTCTCTTGCTAGGTAAGGTAACCTCCCTGTCTACATTTAAATAGGCATCCTAGCTTTATTCAATCAACTAGATTGTCATTAAAACAAATAGTTAAAATGGTATTAGCTTGGCGTTATCAACAAGCAAGCGGAATAGCTGATTTGTAAGATTTTAGATTAGAATCATTAAAGGTTATTGAGGCTTGTAATGAACTTACATCTAAGCAAGTTAATTATTCTAAAAAATATATGCAAGGTTTATTTAACACTTTTGGGTTATGATCCAAAAATTTAGGTCAATGTGTGGATTATTGTGATTGCATTGAGTATGGAAACAATTTTTGGCAATGCATTGGTTATCGCTGCTTATAAACTTGAACGAAATATCAGCAAGCAGGTTAATTTTAATTCCACTTTGCAAGCACTTAATTATTAGCACTCATTGAGAATGGCATCAAGATTTTTTGGGAACGAAATAATGGCGGTAATTTGAAAATTGTTGTTAAGCTAGTTGCAAATGGCAACAAATTTGTTAACTATCTTTGCATAGCTAACAAGAGGCAACATATTCTTCCACATACCAATTCAGGAGAAGTTACAAATTTGAAATTTTTTATGCAGGTATTGCAGATTCTTTATGACTTTTTTGACTTCTTTAATAGTTGTGGTGTTGCTATTTTTATGATTACGAACTATTCGGCACAATTTTATCAGGAGGGTTGGAAGTTTTACTTAAAAAGCTAATTTGCTTCGCATTTAACAGTTACGAAAGCAACAAATTTTTTCATTGTTAAGGAAGATTCTCATTTATCTTATCAGTTTCTTTATTCCTTTCGTAGTTAGAACTTCATGTCCATTATCTTTTACAATTTTATATAATGGGTAGTTCTCAACTTCCCAAAAATGATGCAACCTTTTCTCTTTTCATCAACTCATAATTAACGATTTTACGGAAATGTTGAGCAGTTTCTTTCCATAGCTCAATTGTTTTTTGTTATTGATTATATATGTTTAGTTTTTTCCCGTCATGTTTGACAGAAATTGCAATATATTTAGGATCCTTAAAGAAAGCAAGCAGTTAAATAAATCTTTGTTATAAAGGGTAGAAATTTTCATGTCATGTGGCTGAGTGGCGAGTGCATAATAGCGACTTTTTCCACAACCTTCTATCAATCCCTATTAAAAACAAACTGAATTTCTAAGTTTTATAGCTTTATAGACCTGCTGAGTTTGATCATTTTGATTATTTATTGCATTGTTTTTTTTGATTATTTATTACATTGTTTTTTTGGAAAAAGAAAATATGTAGGCTTCTGGAGAAATTAGCAGGTATTACTGTTTTGTTTATTTTTTCATCGTTTTCGCGATAGGCTAAAACGGCTTTTGAACCAAGTATTGTTTTCAGGTAAGCAATCGTTTCATAGTATCATTGGCTATTTCAGACCTAATTATTGGTATTGAAGGTTATCCACTATTTACTTTATATGTTTTGAATGGTAGGTATATTTTTTGCGAATGAAATTTTTTGCTGATTTTTAATTTGTAATAATTAAAATTTTTAATTTGTAGTAATATTGATTGTAATATTCCAAAAACCTATGATCAACTCTGTTAAAATTAATTACCGGGATGGAATAATTACCCAAACCTCCAATGTGATATTTTCTTTTGCTAACAATAGAGATAAGTGCCGATCATTGCCACTATCTCACAAAGCATATGATGCTATTGTAGCATAGCATGCGATCCTTTCAAGAATTTGTTTTAATCCATCCTTTGGTTGGGCTATAGGCAAAAGATGTGGAAATTAGTTAGCCATTTTAACATTTACAAACTGATCAGAAAAGGGTAGGGTACTTCATGCATGTTAATTCCAATTCCAAATTCTATACAGGTGACCGTTGGCCGCTTGGATGGATAGCATGTGAAACATGGCTTTTCCTTGATTATACACTTTGCCTTGTATCAATACTAACGGTGCTGTTGATAACAGCTGACCGTTATTTATCTGTTTGTCATACCGCGTCATATATTAAGTGGCAGTCACCAGCAAAAGCTCAAATAATAATTATCTGCTCCTGGCTTATTCCTGCTCTTATATTTGGTATTATGATTTATGGCTGGTCATTGGTGTCCGATACGACAACCGGGTAATTTTAATTTTTTTTCCATTTTTTTTTTTGAATTCAGTCATCAGGGATACATTATTTTGCTTTTTTTTTAAATCGCTCCATTTGTTGGCCTTATTTTGAAATTTGTTCTGTTAGTCTCCGTACAGTGTACTTCTTCATTACAGACTTATCAATGGTGAATGTGTCGCTCCGTTTCTCACCAATCCATATGTTAATATGGGTTTGTATGTGGTTTATTATTGGACGACACTGATTGCAATGCTCATTCTTTACAAAGTAATTCATACCGTTTCCCAATTATTTACAATACACACACCAATATTTTAACGCTGTATCCTACTGAAATGATTCCAGTATTATACCAGTGATGATTCAGTGGTTTCCTTTGTGAACCCATGAGTCAAGTTTATTCCTATTCTTTAATCCATTTTTCTATTTTTAAACCTCTTCTACAGCATGTACTCGAATATGAGACATCTTTCTATCTTTATAAAAGATTAGAAGTCGTTCTTGAGAATCATTTTTTAAAACACTTTGCTACTTTTTCAGGGGATCCACAAAGTTACTAAAAAACTTGAAAAAAAAGCCCATGATAAAGATCGACGTCAGTTAGCTCTGTTATTCAGTCAGCGAGTAGGAACACAGGTTACCCTTTTACATCACTTTATGTTGAACGTATTAATTTAGCTTCTGAAAAAAAAAACTATGAGTATGAAGTAACGAAATGATGATATAGGTTGGTCTTGAACTGATGCTTTCGCAACCACATAATGAAGACGATGATATTGCTAAGGAAAACGACCAGATTGCGGAAGGTGCCGCAAAAGACACTGATTATCGTACATTCACGACAAATATTATAGCAAGTTACTTAATAACATTATTGCAGTATACACTCCAGATAAAGTGAATTAACTTTGTTATTGAAGTGATTGACACAATTTTAATTAAAATTTAGAATGTGAAAATCTTGAAAGATTAAAATGGATGAAGGAGATGGAAAAAGTGAAATGATATGTAAGAAAGCAGTAATTATGGATTATAACTTATTGTAACAGATAAAGAGAGAATAAAGAGTTAAGATGGCAGTAAGATAGTAGTAAATATGCAGGAAAGAAGTCTGCTAAAACAAATCCATCTTCGAGCGCTATAATGATCACATTGCAAAAATATTTAAGATACATAAATATAGAAACTTTAAAAACAACAGATTGCATAAGGGCACTTCCACTTTCCTCCTTTGTAAATGTAAAGCATATTTATACGTTGCTGTACATTTAATCAGTTATAGGTTCTCAATTCTTATTATTTTTATAAATATTTTTACTGAATATTTATAATTTGCCTGAGTGTCACTGCAGAGACTTCTTTTTTTGCTGAATCTTTCTGTTTGTGAGCATTCTGAGTATACCAACACTGAGTGTAATTATAGGATGATGATGGAAGATATGAATCTAGAAATATTGCTAACTTAAGCATAGCAATGAGCAATGAGAGTGCTGAGACAATAGCTTTCACAAGCGATTCTGGTATTCATCATGTTTGCGCTCATACACTGACTATTTCCTTGGATGATGCCGACGAACATTTCAATCAGGTTGTACCTTAAAGTTGAATTTTTCTAATTCTTAACGAATTTAAAACTTCATGCTTCTTCTCAGTTGCACAATGCAGCCAAACTTTTATTATATTAGAAAGCTCTCACGATGTTACATCATTTCTTACTATAAAAATATATTAGTATTATCGACGGTGTACCGAATAAGCCAATTATAACTTTTTTTTGAAGAATTGCACTGCTCTTCATTCATTATATAGTCCCATCGCAAATGCAAGGCTAAAAACACTTATCATTAAAAGATTTCCAATAAAATGGATATCACAAATCAAGAATCAAGTGAAGAGAAATTTACTCAGTTCCAAATCTTGCTCATCACTTTCGACGTAAGTTCATGAAATAGTTGCAGTAATATCTTAAATGATAAATAGGTAAATAGGATGGTTATTGTTTATGAAGACATGTTTCAATGACGTTTATTTCTAACCGATATTTTATTCCTCAAAATAACTTTCAAAATATAAATTATTTCATATTAAACTTTACTAAACGAACAAAGGAATAAACGCACAACTCATACTCTTCTGTTAGTGAACTGTCATTACTCCGTTATGTTCTCGTGTTCTTAATTAATTGTTATTGCATCTTTCAACAAACCATATCCTTCCAAAAAACGCTACCGGATGTGAAAGACTATTTTTAGCACATCGTCGATGGAAATTTTAAATTCAAAAGTGCTGGAAACTCAACCTTCTGAGATAAAAATCTCATCTGTGAGCCGACACGGAAGTACTTCCAAAAATGAGAGCAGTGCGAAGCAAAGTTTTCTGAGTTCAACGACCTTTAGTACTGAAAGGTTATAATATTTCAATGTAACATATAGATATTGTTAGCATCTTCTGCAGCCGTGCTAGTTTTGAAGTTTTAACAAGAGATAAAACTGTCAGCCATCTTCATCTATCTGGTTCTAACTGGAACCAAAGAAAAAATGAATGATCAACTAGTGAGGTATATCATGAGAAACAATGGTGATAGAAAACAATTTCACTAACATTTTTTACCACTGATATCTTGACTTCAAGTATAGTTGAATATATTAAGAAATATATTTCAGATCATCACGTAAATTTTCATCTTTTTCGAATTTGAATATTAAAAGAGATAATGTTTTGCACTTTTTTTCACCCTTGACTTTACTTCAACGAAAACGTAAGAAAACGAAAGCTGAACGAAGAGCACATAAAGCATTCAGGACAATTACATTCATTGTTGGGTGTTTTACCATGTTGTGGTCACCCTATTACGTCGTGGTTCGTTTTCTTATAGAATTCGCAAATTTTTGTTATGAAATAGTTGGATGAGAAAGAAGTTGGAAAGGTTAGGAAATTGTTAGACTACATAAACATTTTCAGGCAACGGTGTATGGATTTTGTCGGCACTGTATACCACCACTACTGTATACGCTCACTTATTACATGTGCTATCTTAATTCAAGTAGCAATCCTTTCGCTTACGCTTTGGCTAACCGCCAATTCCGTGTCGCCTTCTTGCGAATGTTGCGCGGAGACTTCAATAAAAATTCTTAAATTGGAATCCAACGAAAACAAATCTTTACATATATCTTCAAGCTTTACACATATCTCTAAACTGTACTGTTCAGCTCCTGTTAAAACTAGAACTGTAACCTAGAGTATCTTCCCAATGTCAACTAGCTCTATGTTGAATTAACCGTTAGAAAAAAGCAGCTCCTACACCGCAAATGTTGGTCTTTTCATATTGCCTAAATGTCGAATTTTGCAGACAATAATATCCCCAATTAAGCTATGATAAAGAAAACTGACAAAAAGGTTTCTTGAAAATTCGATGAATGCAATCACCGATACTAATCACCCCTTGCGCACATACTTTCCTAGAAATGCAGAAACAAGTTATTTCTGCATTCTTTACCATATATATTTCATGTGCCTCAAGACCAGTAGTAGTTAAGAAAAAGAAAAATGCCATATTATTTGCTATTAATGTCAGCATAAAAGAAGACAGTTTGGATTATTTGCTTGTGCAATATCTTCATTTATGCTAATAAAGTGTCAAGGTATATGCGGATGACTGTTATTTCTAAAATTTATGGTCGGTTTCAGAAAAATTCAAGCAGATGAAATACTGTAGATACAACAATTCATAAGGTGAAGTTTATGGATAGCTTAGATGATTCATTACTTTTCTGTTCATAATATAAATTGTAAATTAGTAAAACAGCTTTCTGTTTAAGCAATTTTACGTCATAGATTGAGCAATCAAAACAAAAAAGGATATAACGGAACTGATATAAAGTACTAGACAGAGTTGGAGCGTAAGGAGTATTTAAAAAAATGAAATGTTACGACTCCTCTATTATTGCAAGATTGTGGATTTCAACAGCAGAACCGAACATAGTATAGTAAGAACTGAATTTCCTATTGTATCTGTCAATGAAGTTTCTATGCGTTGATCTTTCCTGAAATACCCAAAATAAAGTCCTATTGCTCATTTGAAAACGCGCCATTACTTGTGTCTTAAGCCTTCCAAAAAGCGGATACACCTTTATTAGTTGCATTTCCAACTTCACATCTTGTAATTCCAGCTTGTGGACTCTCTACTAGTTCCTCTCATTCAAAACTTATTTAACCAAATGCGATAAAAAGTGAAAACCGATTGAGATCCTCCGTAATAGCGAGTATAATCACCCCAAAAAGCCATAAGAACCCAACGCTTGAAGCCGATCAAAGCAATTACTTCACCTTCTGCGTCGTATATAAAGAACCGTACCACATGCAGGATGAATACAATAAAATCACTTGTTAAAAATTTTCATTCAACATAAACATGCTAGTGACAAAAGCAACCGCTTCGAATGCTATGAACTTCCTCCTTAATGTGTTCAATTTCTGACTCAGATTTGGTTCTCAATGTTTCTGATATCTTCTGTATGGGGATTTTATGCAAAACTCGACCAAAGGCTCTGTGCAAGTAATGAGAAACTTATCAAACTCTAAACATCAGTCAATCCCAAAAAAGCTGTACTAGAAAATCTGAACGGAATTGTAAAGTTTCACTTTCACTTCGAGTTTGAGATATTTATTATTATGGAATAAATTCCCAATGCAATCCACGTTACTTTTTCACAGATATTGTATTTAAAAATCATACACGTAAGAAGTATAATTTGAGGAAGGATTGAAACAGAACATTCAAATATGATGTAAATTGAGCATCTAATGAACATATACATGATAAAATGATAAATTAAGATTTGTATATTCCTCCTGCTTACACCTTCCAAAACACCCATGAAATATGCAGCCATTTTTCTAAACGCTGATTATAAGTTAATCCGCTGATACATAGATAAAATAGACACATACATAATCCGCTGATACATACATAAAATAAAACGGGTAATAAGTGGAGCAATTACTTTACACGGTGTCATACGCAATGATATAATTTCAGAAACAAAAAAATTTGAAAAAGTAGTGAAGTAAATTCATTAAAAACAATATATAGAAATATTTCAACAAGAGTGTTACAGTAATTACTGGCTATCAAATGTATACTTTACATCATGCAATCACTGAAACAAAAAGCAAAAGAAAAAAACAATCTCTACACTCCAAGAGAATAGCATAATCGCCGATATGACAGCTAAATTGTAAAACAGACGGAGAATGCTCAACAATAAAAGTTGAATTTTCAAAGAAACAACTTTACCTCAGGTTCCCTATTCGTAAAGTAACAATAAAACAAAGTTTTCACTACTCATCAGCATGACATCGAATACTCGGAGAGTCTATCTGCAGCGGTTCTACCTCCACCCGATAAAACTTCGTTCCGACTTTCAAATTATAACTAAAAAGGTGAAATTAGTTGATATCTGAACAGTCATCCTTCTCATCGGGCTTTTAAGATGATAACAGCATACAATGAAAAGTACACTAACCGATTATCTGTCTTACGTATTTTGCATAGTTCTAGGCGAGTAGTTACTGCCATTAGCCAATTAGGACGTTGACCAACCGCAGCAACGGCCGCTGATTGTCGGTCCCACTTTACTCCCATGCGTTTCAAACTGCTTTCTTTGACAAAATGAAATATTGGAGAAACACTGAAAAGTGTCTTGATCTAGCAGTAATTTTTATACATGCAAATAAAAACCTAATTACGATTTTAACACCATATCATATCAAGCCATTTTGTCAACAGCAAATAATTGATGGTTAAAAGCCTCTACTTAACTGAGACAATGTAGTGTGATAATGACATCGGCAGAAAAACGTAATACGACCATTATTTCAACGAGTTCAATTAGACAGTGAAATGCAGCGACAAAAAAACTTGGGTATTTTACAGGTAGTAAGTGTCATTAAATTTAACGTATATCATATTTAGCTAGTGACATGAGAAGAAACCATAGGATGAAGAAATGTAAAAAAGCGAGAAATTACTGCTGAGAAAAGAAATTTGTTACAATGTAGACGAAGAAATAAAGGATGTAAGCATATGACTAAATATTAGGGAAGACTCTACACTAAATGCACCGCAAAAAAGATATTATCACAACCTGGAGTGCGTATCTTTGTAACAATTGTTACTATGGCACTCAATGACAGATTACTTCGTCTGACTACACAGCAGCATTTCAACAATGCCCAGAATATTATGTGAAAAATCTAAGCAACTTTAATCATCTACCATGTGACCATCTGACCGGTAGTAGATTTCAAAACCTTTCGTCATAGCCACAAATAAAAATAAACCCTTGCCTCAAACTTGAAATATACATCTTTTCCAAACATATAAAAAATCTTACTGTCCCACAAATTGTCCAATGATGTCTTCAAATCATACTTTAGACAAAATCATATCAGTGTCCATCACTCTACTGATTTATGCTTTTCAAGAAGCTTTAAGAAGGCAGAAGACAAGTTAGATGTAATGACCATTTTATACTGAACAGTGAGCTTACTTCTTTTGGAAAAAAAATGCTAACAAAATTTGAAGGGAAACTAGCCTAAATAATATGTAGGCGTTATGTGGCTCACTCCAAACAATTAAGACAGCACAATATTCGTGAATGTCCTGCACTGTAATCATTGTTCGCATCTCCCGCAGTGATATGGCTGTTTGAGCAGTAGCTGGTCTCACCGTAACTGGTGCAATATCTTCATCCGAATCTGCCTGAAAAAATATTAACAGTCAGAAAACAACCCTAGAAAATATGTACCTTGAAGAAAGAAATATAAGTATTTCAGTTTTTTTTTCTTCACTCTGATTCATCGGATCAAGAAGAAATGAGGCATGACCAAACAACTTAAAAGCTTGTCGGCATCTTACCTGAGCCTTCAGTTCTTCATCTGTGTTTTCATCTTTTTCCGAATCTCTACCTTCAGTCCTCACTTTTGACGATTCCATATTTGTGGCTACTAAAAAAGGAATTAATAATGAGAATATCTATACACAACTCTAATTAGAACATACTAGGAGAAAGCGATATAAAAACCAGTAAAGGTTACAAGAAAATAAAGACAGCATTTATCATTAGACATAAACATGGAATCCTCACGGACTGTTTTAGGTTGAATATTTAGCAGACTAAACTGCTATCTATTTCGTGATCATCGGATAGACAAAACAATTCCGTTTATGAACAAAATCATGAACATATCTCAAAAGTACACTATAAGAAAAGTTTTGCTTGTAACAGGGCTGACATTCCTGTATACCAAATATAATCCAGCATAAATTTTGATTAACAAATTTTCAAATATATTGGAGCAAAAACAACAAAAATCATACCATCACTAACAGAAAAAGACTTCAAGAGACATCCTTTGGATACGTCGTTAGATACTGAACTAACAGTAGTGCCTTTTTGAGAATCAATTACCTCAGATCTGAAATGAAATAATTCTGCCGCTTAATAAAACTAATAAAATCTCATAATCTAATAAAACTAAAAATTAATTTTATTTCAAAATAAAAGATGTGGATAAACTTACCCAAATGAATATTTCTCCTTCGTCTCGATTGGTACTCCGCTAAGCAAAGAATTTCCGTGAGCAGTTATGAATTTTTTCTGAAAATTTCAGATCCTTTGTTTAGAAAACCAATGAAAATTTATCATAATTTCACGTCTTTCTCTGCACAGTAAGATCAAAAGACATTTTTCCCATTTAGATTCTCTGATAATCGTCTCAAACAATAATGCTTTTTTTATTCTACAAATACTTTGTTCGCACAAAACTGTACAACAGCGAAAAAGTACTAAAACTTGGCCTAGCACAATTCAAAATCTTTATTCAATCAAAAAACCATCACATTGTATCTAAGTAATTTAAACTTTTTTTAAAAGAAAGAAAATTTTCGACCTAAAGTTAACAACAACTGAGTAGTCGTGCAACAGAATGACTAGAAAAGCAGGAGTAACTTCTCATTTTTAAAATGATAGATTTTAAAAGCAGTGTATAACCTCATATTCCTTGTCGCAACTAATTCCGGTTTCACTATTGGCAACTGAATTGGTATTTTCTACATTCTGGTGAACAACGGTTTCACGAAGTTTATGTAACGCTGCTTTCAGTGAATCAATTTCCTTATTCTTTCTCTAAAATGAAACATACATAAAACTCTTTAAAGTTAAATAAACCAGCAATGCACTTCAAAACTCATTGGTTTTAAATTTTGTGTTGCCTATTAACCATAATATCATGCACATTATACGAACCTTCATTTCTTCATTGTGAGATGAAATCTTACGCTCCAGTGCCAACTCGTGGTCAATAACTAAAGTTTTGTACATTTCGTTTCTTTCGATTTCCATTCTACAAAGTCAATATAAGTACAGAAGCCAGAAAAATGTAATAAAACAAAAAATCCGGATTATTTTCATAATTGAGAAACCATGTGGGGCTCAGTATATAAAGAATAAACCATAATATATATGCAATAAGAGAACGTACTTAGCAACAGTATTTTCTGTACTTAACTGCTGTTCACGGAGCTGTGAAATTTCCCTCTTCTGAAGTTCAATGACTTGTCGGAGTTCAGAAATATCTTTTTCCGGTACCTCGTCAACAACACTCTAAAAAAATCATATAAGTGGATCCTAATGTATAAAAATAATATAAACTATGAATACTATTAATCAAAATGTCCACTTAAAAATTCTCAATAAAACCAAAAGATAATGACAAAGTTCTAATATCTATGCCTAAAAACTTTCATGAAATAGATAACAATTTGGTTAGTTCAACAACTTAAAGTGTAAAATACCATTAAGAACGACTCTTTCAGCTTATCCTTTGTTTCAGTCTCAATGGCGGCATCCTTATAAATAGGCTTAATAGGCTGATGAGACGCGGAAACCGCGTTTCTGTATCCAATATACGCAATTAACGAATTGTTTATTCGTTTTAATGCCCCATCCGAGTATTCTTTAGTTTGATTTTCAGCAAGAATCAGTTCTTGTTTCAGGTGCATCAACTGCTAAAATTATTGTATGAAATAGCTTATATGAAACAGCAAACAGACAAAGGCTATTACAATAAAACCTTATTTGAAATGGTAAAATATATAGGAAGCTAACCTGTGAAAGTCCTTTCAACCCATTTTGTAAACAGAGAAGGCTCCCAGACTGAGATCTTTCAAACACCTCAGCAATCTATAATGAAAATTCCTTAGAGTATATCAGATCTCACACTTTGATCATCACATGAATTGATATTAAAATAGTGTCACAGAACGTAGTTTTTTGTATGAAAAATATGAGTATTGCAATAAATTACCCTCTGATGGTAACTAATATGATCTTCAGGTGTACCAAATTGACTGGATTTGTCTGATTTTGGCTGTAATACAAATATTTTAGTTAAAAAATCGTTCAGATATCTCATGTAAATGATATTCAGGGAAATTAAAGATAATTCCACAGCAAAAGAGTTCATCATACACAAAATGTAGTAGAAAAGTATTCATACGATGTAAACACTGTACCTTCACTGAATTTCCTTCTTCTATTAATGGCGCAACGACCTGAAGTATGGATGCATTGTTCTGAGGTATCGCGATCGGTTCACTTTTTGTAACACTCAATCTCATGAATGCTTTACTTTCAATTTCCACCTCACTTTCAGCAGTCTGAAATTTAGTAAATAAAAAGCAATTTTACAAGTATACTAGGTTTCTCAATGGGTCACAAAATTAGATAAAATTAGCAACGTTTATATTGTTTTTCAAATAGCCTAATTTCTAATTATCAAACCCTGCAAGATAACCCTATTTTTACGAAACAAACGGTAACGGTCGGGCTTCAAAGTTGTAAAACGACATAAGCTGACTAGGAATACGACCTATGCATTTTTTATATTATTGTTGGAGATTACAAAGCTTCATACATAACCCTCCCTCAAATACGATAAGAGCGCAAATGAGACATATTTAGCAAGTTCATGTCCCGCAGCAGTTCCAGTTGTAGCATATGATGACAGAATCCCTTTGTTATGATTTCAGAAACGAAGAATAAAAGATCCCTAAATACGTGACTAAACAAAAATGATTATTCGTTAAAGTCAAGCGACAATGTGTATGATGAAAATGAAGTTATCACCCTGTTTCGAACTTTGCTTTACTCTAGTCGATTACCATAAATTTCTCTTTTTGGTAAAATTGACAAGTAAATTGTAACATTTGATAGAATTTCAGTGATGAAAAAGATATTTGTGCAAACCTCTGCTTTCATTCACTTAACAATCCAGTAAAAGACTGTTATCCAAAAAATTGAACAGACTTAACATGACTACAGAAGCAATCAGACTAGGTATTACGAGCAGTATGTACAACCTTAAATAAAATATTTACTGCAATAATTTCAGACTATTTTTTTGTATGAATTTTTGACATGACACACAATATTTATACGAATTAAAAGCAATACCTCATTATGTGAGGCATCAAAAAGGGATGCAAGTGAGTTAAGTGGCCTTGCAGGAGATTCTTCGACCATGTCCAAACTGAACGTAGAACCAAACCGTGAAGGTGGTGATTTAGCCAGCATTGTTGCATTTGAAGGTAAAGCATCCAAATTCTCGTCACCGCTGAACACAGTAATAGATAGCAACTAATGAAAAGATCAAAAAATAAATAAAGGTTAAATTTTTAAGCGCTTAATGTAAGCATCAACCAGGAAATGCAGAAAATCGAGTTGCCCCGTTGAAATCTTTTATCACTATTTGGAATTTGAAGAATGTAAATAGGTATTATTAATGAATTTTGTTGCCTGCTCCAGGAAGGTAAGCGATAAGAAGGAAAAAACAGTATAACCCAAATTTTTTGTTGCTAAATAAACAAAGTAATTACCTCAACCAATGTGTGGATGGAAAGTTCTTGTTCAAATTTGCAACGTTAATTGTAGCATCCGTAGTGTAGAATGATTCTTCTCTTTTTAAAACTGGAGGAGTCATTTGTGAACCAGATACAAGTCGTGGATCTCTTACAGAAAGTCGCTGATAAATAAAGGGATCTGTCACTCTTAGCAAATTTGCTAAACACGGAACGGCCTAAACAAATTCATTGATATCAACTTAGCTGAAATGATAACAGCTCAAATGAGAACTAAAAATAACAAAACCATTCATCATTTCTTAAAAATATTTCAGCATACCTGTCTCAGAGTTCTCAGATCCACTGGAGCTACAGGAGGTAAGTTTTTGTCGAAATGTGTCAAGCCACTGGGAGCAAAGTTCGGAAAATTATCGAACATGCCCGGAAACAACTGTTTTAAAAAATGTCGCCCTAATTTTTGTTTGAATACTTCGCGTACGGATGTTTCTTCCGTGACCAAAGCAACACTTTTTTCCATGAATGAAGCAAACCACGACTCAAATTCCTGCAAAAAGTAATAAACTAGGATCCCAAGACACAATGTTGCATTAACGAAATTAAAAAATTCAGGTTACGAACTGGCTGCAATACACTTCGGCGAAGACATTCGGTGAGTGCCGTGGCAAACATTGTTGGACTCTCCTTCACTTGCCGAATGATATCAAGTCGGTTCCGTAAAGCAATATATTTTTCTTCAAATAAAATTATCTGATTGTTTGTGGCATGCAATCTATCATAGACCTGAAAGAAATAACATTCTTCCAAGGTATAAATATGCTTAATAAACTGAAGATTTCCAATCAATTCAAGATTTCAACATCTTTGTAAAGAGTAGCATGCGACATAAAGAAAAACGTATAACGTTTTTTCCGGATATGAATATTTGATCGCAAAAATAACCTGCAATATCCATCCACGAAGTCTCGTTCTAATATTGTTTAATAACTCGATTTTGGATTGCTGAAAAGCTTTCCCCATTTTCTGTATCTGTTCAATTAGCTTTCTAACTTCTAACATTTTTTCCCGCTGATTCAACACAATATCCTGTAAAATAAAGAGCTCATCTTCTGCAATCAATAGAAATGTAGTTATATTACATACTTCTTGAGGAGATAATTTGATAATCAATAAAAAGCAAAACTTTACTCTGGTAGACTGAGAATCAACAACCGGTTGCGATACAGCAAAACATAAATCCTTCAGCACTTTCGTTTCTTCTGAAATGTTGTGTTAATGAAGTGGGTAAATAACTCATATATTATTTCAGAAATCTTAATCTACAGCCATAAAATATTTTGCAAGTATTAGTCTCTCTTTTTAAAACAAAGGATGACTGTAGGAATCAAATTAAAAGATGAAACATGAACTTAGTAAGAAAAAATGATAAAACTAACGTTCTTTATTGTGAAACATTGCATCCAACTGCGTAAGGCGAGTATTTATACCACGAATATTACGCATTTCAGGATTACTAACTTTCTCACTGACATACCTCATATTAGATACCACCTGTTTATATTCGGTATCGCTCGTCTGTAGTTAGAGGCATGTTTCATTATTTTGTAAAAAATAATATCAAGCGATAGAAGGTTAAAATATCCTAAAACTGAAAAGCTGTAAGTTCACTGACTTGTGATATTTCTAAATAAGTATCCAACGCGATTACTGGTCAATATAAGCCTATGCTTAATTTTTCAATGGTGGGATGCAAAACTGCATACAACTACTTTTTGCGCAAATGTAGTTAAATAGACGCACAAAAAAGCATAAACTACTTTTTTTAAACATGTGGAGAATCTGGGTAAACTATAGTGCAAAGTCCTAAGAAAGATAATGCTTGAAACAGTACCTTAGACAGAAGTATATTAACTTGCTCTGACATTTCTTCCAATGAATTTTGTGGATCGGCACGAGCAATATACTCATACAGTGTGCATTCTTCAGTAGCCTTCGACGATCCTTGCAATTTGTATGAATTTGACAATAAAGCTGAGGGAATTTTGATCTAAAAGAATTCCATGAAAGTTACGAATGCGATACCTCTCATAGAAGAGAACACTACACGACAAAAGGTAAATGCTAACTTGTTGCAAAGTACGAAGCACGTTATCGAAATCCTGTAATAAGGTCTCAGCTTTAATTTTCATTGTTTTCAAACGCTCGTAGCGAGATAGGAAACGCTCAGATTTCTTCTCAATTTGAGCTCGTGAATCATAAAGATTGGATATTAGTGCTAACCATCCCTGGAAACGAGAAATTTAGCACCCATTACAGCATGCAATAACATAAAATGAAGTGACTAACGATAATAAAAATGACGAATTTACCTGATGCAAAAGTTGATGATCTTGAACTAAACGTGCACAAAGCTGCAAGCTTCTTTCAGCAACTTTTAATCCTAGGTGCCCAGCATCACAGTAGCGCGTAATTAGCGGTCTTGATATTGTTGAGCTATCAAGAACATGTAGTTCATCATACAAACCTCCAAAATACCTTTTGATATGAAACAACATAGTTTTTCAGAAAAAAACGTATTCGAATTCCCCCAAATTACGTATTATAAGAAAAAAACTGTAGCAATTAAAAAACAAGTATTCGTTAAATCATAATGCAGGTATAACACTTTTTTTGTAATGTCAAAATGTTGGTGCGTCATTTCTAAAAGTTTGTTTTCGCAAAGGGAGAAAAAACAGTTTGGTTTGATGAAGTAGATCGGTTATAGCTGACTGGAAGTTTGTCTGTCATTTATCTATTCATATATATTTCATACCTGCGCATAATGTACACAATTCATCACTATTTGTCAGTTCCGTACACTGACTATCTTCTTTGTATAATTTACGGAACAGGAACAGTGGATTTGATTCCGTACCAGCTCCCTGATAATGTGACACCTGCTTTTCCGACTGCAACCCTTCTCCTCCAGAAACAAGCAAAGCCTGCAAAACTGAGTGATTTGAAGCATTTCGTTCTATTGAGAATAGCGTTATCGCTATCTGAAAAAGTAAAGGTTGAATCAGAATACTGCTATTTGAATTCTCTTTATTATATTGGTATTAAATCTGTGCTCCTATGGTTTTTAAAAAACTGTAAACGAAAGTGAACCTGTTCTGCAACGGGCACCCGAGTTATTTCTTCTATAACACATTGTAGTTTATGAACTGAGCCAAGTGCAACAGATACTTCTAAAGCTTGTAGAGAACCCTCGTTCACGTAGAAAACGTAAAACATTGGGCCAGTCAGTGGAAATACCTCATGCCCTAAAATGAAATGTATCCTAATTGCCAAAACTCAATACATATATTACTTTCGCATAGTGTAATTGCATATCTTGTCAAAAATATGTAGAGAACCTTGAAGGAGAAAAAAGCTCAATCAGAAAGAAAACATGTATGATAAGCTAGAAACCATGGAATTAATTCTTTACCTTAGTACGAATTAACTCCATGGTTTTCATAATTATAAGCCCGCACTCCCTTTGATTTCCATACTATGGACTATCAAAATACAATGAGTTAATAGTGCATGGAAAAAAATAAAAATGGGTGCCAATGTGTATTTTCAGCATATAAATTGAAGCAGTCTGAAAGCAATAAGGAAGTAAACGACATCTCAAAAGATGAAGATGTGATCATTTGATGAAAGTAAACGACCTTATCAATGTTATCGATTAAAAAAAAGGAACAGCTAAATCAAAAGAAACAAAACCAAAGCAGATAGAACGTCTGCCTTACTGCATCACCCCAAACGAAACAGACAATTGTGAATGGGAGCGTGCTATTTGTTGCATGCAACATTTCCTACCCAATCCATTGATTGGGGTTGGTGGAGGTAACAACGAATAGGAGAAAAAGTACGTCACAACCGGTTGTCGGTATTATCACTTGTCGGGTTGATATCGATATCCCTAATTCTGATTTCCTTTCTTTCAAACAGATCTTCCGTCTAATATTGCTGCTTTTAATCAGTGTCCACTCGTTTAGGTATTAACAGCAGTTTTACAGTTACACTCTTGGATCTTGGGTAATATGCTGAGGTTGCATTTGAACCGAACTTTCAAGCTGTCAGAATGGATATTAGCAAGCTAGTTGGAATATCAAAGATCAGTAAGAATTTGCTAAATTACTTATGTATCTTGAAATTCACAAATGCTTAGTCATAAGAAAAGACCTCAAGAATAATAAAAAATATTTAAGCATTAAGAAAAAGTTGATCAGACCGAATATAAAATGTCTGTTACATTTTTTTTTTGTTGAGCTCCTTGCTGTCCTTAAAAATTTGGATGACATTGGAAGTGAGCTCCTAAAATTTATTCTGCGTAGCACTATTCACGAAGAGCATTTGTCTAAATAGAACACACGAACACATAGAGACACAACCTGTAATACTACTGGTACAGCAACCATATGGTGCTTCTAAAATCCTACGAATCGATTGTATCAAAACACACACATGATGGACAGTTTTATATCGTATGGTTTCACGCCTATCTGAAGAATGACTTTCTGTATGGATTCAGTGTCCTGTACATTTTGGTTGTGATGTAGGAACCTCCAGGCACATATCAAATCATGCTTTGACTTTGCTCAACTTTTACCCTTTCTAGGTTTCGAAAAGTTAGTGTTTTTTTTTCTTACTCCGTTTATGAAAAAAAAAGGTCTTCAGAACATTGGATTTGCACAGCTAATCGTGTTGTCTGAATGTGTTGATGATAAGTGTATCCTGGCATCCCATCATAAATGTATACTTTATACACAAGTCATCAGCAACGTCATATTTATATGACTCGTTGCTACACAATTCATATTCCATCGCTCATTTTTCACGATCGTTGGTTGATAGTTACGTCAACGCCGCATTAATCATCTCGGACCCTCTGAATCACTTAATGTCATCAACATATTGTTCAAAACATCAGCTTGAACATGTCAAGAAACTATGTCAGTATGGTATATTTTATAAGTTGTATGTGCAGTATTTCATATACTATTACCCTTGCTTGCACAAATACGTCGTCATCACCAAATAATCCTCCTATCGACTGTATCATTATTTTTGCTATAAGAAATGATGAAAACAGCAGAGAAGACTAATTAATAATGATCATACAAGGACAGATGGTCTTAGATATTTTGAACCGTCTTTGAGTATTCTTTTCAGGCAAGAAGAAGGAAACATCTGGCATGGATATTGAAATTCTTTAAAATTTTCAATAGAAATTTCATTTCACGCAGTGTTGTGAGGAATGAGTGAACACGATGAAATGTGTTTTATAAATGTTTTATAAATGACAAGAGTTGATACAATATTGGTACTTAATAAAAACGGAAGAAAAAAATTACCTTTAGCTATAAAACTGACCCTTAAGCTACTTGACTGATTCCAAGAATGTGGGCAGTAATATTCCAAAAATCCCACCATTCGTTAGAGTTCGCCGATTACTGTGGCATATACATGAACTAAAAAGTTGATTAAACGAAGCATCCTGTCATGTGCAGGCAATTCCTAGATAAGAAAAGCAATCCGGCTTTTTTCAATTCGGATTGCGCTTTGGAATACAAACTGCATGTGAAGTTCCTATTCACCATAATCGATTTTTTCTCACCCAAAAATTACAGCGTTGCAAATCTGGCTTCAATAAAATACATTTAAAATGTCTATTGATTTGGACATATTAATTTTATTGAAAAGTATTTTGCAAAACAATGTAGTTTAAAATCATTTGTCTACCATGATTTTTGCATTCTGCATAAATTTTGCAGCGTGGAACGTAACACGATAGATAGAATCATGTTTTTGATCACCGAATACTGAGTGGATGGCTTGTATCTTGTGTAACGAATCGATCGGTAGGTCAGCAAAACATTACTTTGACATTTCCAATTACAAAATCAACTGATTCTTCAAAGACTTATGAGAAGTATATTAGAAAAAAATGATGAGGGATATTCGCAAACTTGAGTCCCACTTAAAGTTACACTATTTTTTAAAATTAAATACGACGTCATATGCTTTCTACTTATTACCGGCATTTTGGTATTAGTACTAGTATTACTAATCACTCATTTATTTTCTATACATTTAGTTCTCTCAGCCACAAAACTAATCTGGAGAAAAAAAACCAGACACTTAGCAAACCTAAAATGTGTTTAACGAATTGAAATAGGTTTCTCTATATTATACAATAAAACCCAACAAAATCATCTTATTTGATCACATTGGGAAACCAAATTAGTGATAAACAATTCAAATGAGTCACTGATGCGAGTAGAACGATTCATTTCAAAATAAACAAACATGTTCCACGCAACAGCAACTGCATTAAATCAGGATTTTGGTACAATCCAGTCGCAACACTTACAGATATTCACTATAACAAACAACATCAAACTAGTAGAATTTATACATTAGGTTGGTTAAATTACTATAACGATGTAGCAAAACAACAAAACTTTTAGAGAACTGGTAATACATCAGCAGATAGAATGATGCATATTACAGAGTAAAACTGAAGGACCCGGACTCATTTTCGAAATTGGATGACTGCTGTAGTGGATACATCAATTTACTAAAGAATATCGTTGTGTAGTATATGTAACTGAAAATGTATTAGAAAACAGCTATCGGTCATAGACGAAATTAAATCCGACAAAAATGGAAAATACTAACTCCGGATCGATTTCGATTTACAGATCTACGAGATAATTCAAGACGTCCAAAAAATCATGTAATATGTGTAAACCACAATATCGTACGTGTAATGCACACTGATTTCTCCAGTATTTCCAACATCACAAGAATTTATTCTCCCATTTTATACTTACCCTTTTAATTCTCAAAATCTACTCTCGTTTAAGTTCTATGAAACCACAATCAATATGACTCAGTCAATCCTTTCTTAAAAATGAATCTTATTGCTGAAGAGATATCTTTTTCGTTTCTTTGTTCTCTCTATTCCTACCTGTTACTTTTATTATTATTTTGGTCACCATCATATACAAATACTATTGAATTTGATTTTTTTATTGCAATTCTTTCCCAATCATAATCTCTTCAAACTGCGTATATAATTTCCTATTCAAACACTTGGTCTTTCAAAGCAATCAGTATAATAATCTTCCTATACACTATATAAATCTAGCTCTAAATACCTCTCTCAGTGCACGGTTCGCTCCAAAATGAGGTATAAAACGTTTGGATGTAGAATTAAAATTCAGATGAAAAAAGAAGTACCACGCAGACTTGAAAGACAACCAATAAAACCCTCAGTTACAAATATCCCCACATAGTCAATGTTAACGGCAATATCAAATCAAACATTTTGTACTATATATGCTTTTTTCTGTCAATATTTCTTTGGACGCAAATGAATAAGTACGCTCAGAAAAAAAACACATTGCAGCATGAACTTGACTATAAAAGCAAGATATGCGGGTGAAGCGCAGGTAATCTTTTTTTTTATAACCAAGAACATGTTATTGAAAACAAAAGGAATGACAGCTTCGAGAACACTTCCTTACTCAAATATTCTGTACACAGTAAGTGGAACACTCGATAAGACAATACATAAAACAAACATATACTCACGAAAAAGTCTTGCATATGCTGTCACCATACGTCGGGAATTTTACTGTAGTTCCAGTGGATATTTGCGAAATAAAACAGGTAATACATGTTGTGAGCAGTATAATTCACTGTGGAGGTGTACATGGTGTACAAGGAGGCACATCTGGAGTTTCCTCGATATGAGATATATTAATAGGCTCACTAATAGTATTCGGAAATTGACAACTGTTAACTGACCAAACCTAAAATTAACGAGACAATGACATAACCAGAAGATGAAGAAAAGTGATAGACAACTAACGTAGATCTCAATCTTTCAGAATCCATACGAAAAAAAGATATGATACCCGTGGAAGTCGACTAACAACGGCGTTGTATAGCGACGAATTTTCATCCTGTTCATGAGTCATATCACAGCTTTCGTCCATGATACTTTCAACATGTTCCGGCTGTTCCGCGGAATTCTGGAAACTTTTTTTGTAGAAAAAACAGAACAAGAAATCCAATTTTATTGATTTCGAATAAAAAAGGCTTTATCGTTTCCTTACAGTGAATTTTTTGTTGGTTATGAGCCAGATGATTAAGATTGCAATGATAACGCCTAGAAATCTCAATTCAACTACTTTCACCTGCACTGGCTGCCTTAATGAAATAAGAAACATGATAATTATCAAGATTTTATCATCTTATCCCCATTACTTGAAGCTAAATGAATAAAAAAAATTTATAATCGGTTTGCCGGGCACATACTGTTGAGTTTGATTTTCTCACACACTGTGCACATACTATGCATTCAGACAGCAGTAAGCAGTAAACTGACCTGTAGGGCATAGTTAAACGGAAGAGCTCCACCAAAGGGATTCATATTCTCACTTCCTGTGGGAGCAGATGAGCCCAATGGAGCAGAAGCCAGCTGCTGTGTGATGCCCAAAATCCCCGTATCATCGACCGTTATGATGCACCAAATGGATTCTAAAATAGCCTATGCCAAGTGAAAGATCGCTTAAATGATTCCAAAGATACCAAAATACTCTTTACTAAAAAATTATTCAACACTTGCATGTCGTGATGAAATGTTTACCGCCAAATGGAATTCCGGAATTAGTATTCAGTTGCCACCTGCTCTGATAAATTCCTCTCTCCGTAGGGCTAACCATTTCAATGCTGACATTGATTTCCTTTCCTGGAGCTAAAGGTTGAATCCAAGATCTAGTGGTATCCGACAATTTGTCACCTGCAACAAAAAGATACTTTTACAATTCTTTCCTAGAATGAAAGTAACGACAAATCAGACTTTTCTTTTGCAATTAAGTAAGAATCCTCTACAGCAGAATTTATTATAAAATTAAATCAAGTTCTAACCTTCCATATAGCACAAAAAGCAACCACTAGGCCACCATTCATTTCCAGAATTGCGCACTCGCCAAGTTTTTGTAAAACGCGTAGAAGGTGGAACACTTTCACCCTGAAAATGGGCTTATGAAAGCTAAGCTTACGTCAACAGAACGCAAACATGAGGAAAAATTGTGAGATTAATGGGAAAAGTATAGAATCGCAGATTTATCAAACGCACCTCGCCTATTGTGACGTCTTGCACGAACTGCATTGCAGGTAGCTGTGTTACATACTCAGGAGGTGGTGAACCTGTACCGTTTGCACTGCCGTAATCATAATAAGCTCCTAGAGCAGCTTGCAAATTCCTGAAATGATTAAAGTCCAAAATAAGTTTTAGTATTTGCAGACAAAAGTTTCATGTTATTTTCAAAATGGAACAATGTATTTAATACAATCAATATTTTGACTATGTGATAAATTTTTTCCACTGTTGAAATTATAATCTGAAAAATGCCAGTACTAGCTTACCAGCTATTCATATCAAGAAAAAATGCGCATGCTTCTGCTGAAAGAGTCTGACTGTCGCCAAGAACTTGTTGGAACTGTTTTACCAGCACTTCACGATCGTTAGTTGCCATGCATGAAAGAGCTTGCGATAATGAGCCATTCACGTCACCGTCAATATCCATTTTGATAAACACACTAACTGAAAAATAATACTGTACACTGCCAAATAACTCATGCCGACATTCCATGTATTACGAAAGGGACTTCACATGTTTGTTACGACGTGGAAAGCAACTAGAGTGAAACGCTTTGGAAAACCATTGTCCTGGAAAAGTTCTGTTCTTGTTTGCTATTTACATGAAAAAGCGAGCAGAAAATATTCCATAAAATCATAAAATGTGAATAAATTTGTAAATGGACTTAAACAAAAAATAAAAAATCAACTAGCAGCACGAAATGAAAATTGATTCTGCCAGACTCACCACATCAATATAACAGACCTCTCTGTTCCAAACTCGCAAAATGAAAAGATGTGCGAAAAATAAAATAGGCAAATCCTGTGCGAAAAACTGATGTACAAATAATAATAAATCAATTTTTTGGAGAAATCTCGGTACGAGAATAGGGTAGTTGTGAGATCACTGTGTTAAATACTGCCTAATATTAAGCAGAAAATGTGGATCGAGACGATAACATACCCGTATTTTTCAGTAAAACCATCGAAGACAATCCATGTGAAAATTTTCTTCGATGAGATTAGAACGCAATCAAAATTGCAAGTTTCAGAAATAACTACTTCGATGTCCCAACATACTGAAGATCTTGCCTTTAAATCTCAAACATCAATCCCTCGTCCCTAAGGAAACATCGTGCATGGAGTAACCTCACCCCCCCTAGATTGTCATCTTCATGATTTTCAAAACACGGGCACGTCTATGTTGAAGTTTACACCAGAGCCCGGCCGAACCATCCCAGTGTGCAACTCATTAGGGACGAATAGGACGCTTTGTTGCTGGTATGATTACCTGACGTTGTCGTTGTATTGTGAGCCTGATTTTTATGGTGATGGGTGGTGAGATTGTTTTGTTAGTGCATCGGTTTTCGAGAAATTTGTTCATTTTATTTCGGTTTTGTGAAACTCAAGAATTCTAATAATTTTAAACCATTTGTGGCGGTTTTACTAACAGTCTAATTTATGGTATATAATGGTTGAAAAGTGGTATATTCTCTTTTCTCACAGTGATCGGCGTTATACGGCTTCCGATTGTGCCACAAACTGGGAAACTGATAAAGGACACATATACCAGCTTAAAGAAGATTCATGATGACTTTTGCAAACTGTGTCGGTGGTACTGCTAAATTGAATACTGGTTTCTCAATACCTATGGTTGGTCTTGGTACCTACAAAATTGTTGGCCAGGATGCGATAACTATGGCTACTGATGCTGCTTTGAAAGCTGGCTATCGTTTGTTCGACACAGCCAAGTATTACGTGAATGAACCAGAACTGGGCATTGCCCTCCAAGTAGCGTTTTTTTCTTTTTTTACTTGTTCATAATTCAGCTCAAATTTCGACTCATATTCGCACTCATATTTTGATCCGTTGGTTAGAAAATATTTTCAATGTTTTGAACAGTAGTGTTGGAGCACCCGAGATGAGCAAGGGCGCCGTTTATTATGCTCAACTCAAATAAATTATTTCTTTCCTCATTTCAAAACCATTTTCTTGTTGATTCAGAATAAAGAGGTCAAAGTATTAACCTGAATATAGCTTCCCACTGCACAGTTTCTCGAATTTTTACTTTTATAATGACTAATGTTTGAAGCTTCAGATTCCTTTCTACTTTTTTAGTTCCATTCAGTGCAGCGGAAAAAAACACATTTCAGGAACTGCTCCCAAAGTATAACTTGAGGAGAGAAGAAGTTTTCATCACTACAAAATTTTTCCTAGCCCAAACAAATAATGCTGAGCACGCAAGAAAAATGGTAGATGAGTCGCTGAGGAATCTTCGAACAGAGTAATTTCTTAGAAAGTTCTTCATTTTCACAGCTGATACAGAGCTGTACTTTGTTCACATGAAAATGTTATTTAGGTACCTCGATTTGGTTCTTATACACTATCCGAAAGCTAATTTAAGTAAGAACAATGACCCACGAAATCCAGAAAACCGTAAAGACGCTTATTTGGAACTCGAGAAATTAAAAGGTAATTATTTCAATATAATGAGTTAAGGCATGAACAGGTGCAATTGTCATTGAAATTCAGATTTCAGTACAGTATGACAGGATTTTTTTTTACTTTATTTTCGAAAAGTACATATTTGAACACATCATATTCTCTCCTTCATTTAAACGGTTGACAGTGAATTTTTAGGAGAACACAAAATACGATCAATAGGTGTTTCGAATTATGAAATTAAGCATATTAAAGAGATTCAAAATTTCGGACAAATGATGCCTTCTGTAAACCAGGTGGAATTCCATCCTCATTTCACTCGCAATGAGTTAAGAGATTATTGCAAAAGAGAGGGAATATTTTTCCAGGTTAGTTTAATAATATATTTAGGAATTTCAATACCAGTATTCTTTTAAAAAAGATAACATTTTAAAACAACTGGTACGGACTTTTTTACTATCTGTTTTGTTGATTTCGCTGGCGATGTTTTTTAATTTTCAGGCTTATTCATCATTGGCAAGAAATCATCCAGATCTCATGTCTGATTCCGTGATTGTTGAAACAGCAAAAGCGCATAACTCAACGTCTCAGGTTGATGCTTCAAGTGTTCGTAACAAAGTTTTTTGAAAATTTTATTATGTTTTTTGAACAGTTTCACATAGAAATATATTGTTCCAGCTCGTTTTGTTAGCTTGGGCACTGAGTCTTGGTATTGGCATTATACCGAAATCGTCGAATCCAGAACGAGTGATTGACAACTTTAAGGTACAACTTATTAAATATTTCCATTTAAGGAAGTTCAGGTTCGACGATTGGTTAGCTTAATAAAGAGCATAAGTTTTTCATAATTTATGTCATTTGTTGGTCAAAGGAATGTATAGGATGAAGGAGTTTTTGATCCCCAGTTCACGCCGATTATGATCTTATGTTTTTTTAAAGCAAAATCATGTTTCTCATATTCACAGTTGTTGTTTAGAATATTTATACTGAGCAAATAAAATCTAGAATATGACATTAGATCTGTACTATTTTGAATTTCATGGATCGAATGCTATGGCATTTTAAGTAATGTTGTATAATCGTTTTATGCGATTTTGATATCCAAAACCGATTTGTTTCTCTAAGTGTAACTTGAACTTATGCAGCACTAACATTTACAAAAGATGTTCTTGCATAGCACTAAGAAATTATCAAAAAATGTGGTCCTAAAAGCTGCGAAAGTTTATGCATGCTTTTGCTTTGATTGTGTAAAGAGCCACTGTAGTTAAGTGAGTGATTTTGGACCCTTTTTTGAAATGTGGTGATACTGAATTTTTAAGGTAGTTGAATTGAAGCTGACAGAGGAAGAAATTGAAAGAATCACGCAGCTGGATCGAAAT